GAGAGAGAGAGAGAGAGAGAGAGAGAGAGAGAGAGAGAGAGCACTCGGTACATAGTTCGCTGCATTATAACGATCACGATGATGAAAACGTACGATGTACGTGCGATCCGCATTGATATTCACGGGGTCATCATTTTCGCAGGAGTGGATCTAGATCAGACTAGTGCGATAATAGTCATAAATAAAGGAGAGTCTCGAGAAGACTCAGTGAGTCAGCTGAAAGGGAAAAAACGGTGACGTACGTAAGAATAAAGGATCACGACAAGTCGTTGCATTATGCGTGAGTACATGCTTCAAGAATCAGAAAAATCCTTGCTCAATTCTGATTTAAGATTGCTAAAGTGTCAGTTGAGGAACGTTACCAAGTGGATATCTGGAAATGAAGATTTTATTCTTCTGCTTTCCTTCAAACCACAATTAAAACTTCTATAATACTGGGATCGCGTGGGCGCTCAAAAAGAATTATAGATTACATAGAAGTCTCCGTACAAAAATTCTCGAATTGAGTAAAGAAAAAGGTCTAAATATATAGGATATTCCAGAATAACCTCCGAAGCTTTCATGAAAGCATAGTATGAATTAAGGTGAATACAAAAGTCCTGTACCGTTTTGCGATATTTGCAATATTAATATATATATATTATATTAATATTAATTAAAAAAGATTTGTGAGTGATCACGCGAAATATGAATGAACTACAGTGGCGACATCTGCCGTCGTGTGCTTGTCTATTAGGTCAAACTGAACAAAAAAGTCCTCTATCTTCTTTCTAATAACCTTGTAGATTTTAAATTATTAATTAGAGAACATTAACATATTATTGCGAGTGATCATCCCTCAATTTTCTTTAATTAATAATTAAAAATCTACAAAGTTATTAGAAAGAAGATAGAGGAAAAAAGTTAGGAAAATAGCAGAGAAATTTTTGTTCCGTTTGATCTAATACACAAGCACACGATGGTTTCAATTAGAGAATGGCCATTTCTTTATACCATTAATTAGTTGTAGGATATATTGAATAATCAACAGTACCGTTCTCTTGAGTTAAATATTTAATCATAAATAAAGATTTTTTGTCGTAAAGAAATTTTCCAATTAAATATGCAACTTCGGTTTTAATTCGAACGAATCTTAGAAATTAAATGAATATTAGATTGAATTAAACGAATATTAGAAATTAAATGAATTGCATTGCAGAGAATATAATTTCTCTCGTTTGTTATAGTTGCAAGAATAGATTATAATTTAACATTTATGAACCGTTCCAGTTTACGTTATCGTTACGCTGGAATTTATAGGACGTGTCATCGCGATTTTCGCGCAGAGATCGTAATCACGCGTTGTGTAAATTATTCCAGCGAGTTTACCTCCTGTGTTCTTCCTCACGTGACGATAAAAATCCACTGATGTTTAAACTACGGCAATTCATTTTTTCGAACGCGACGGACCGGCGAGGTTATGGAACAATAATCATAAATAAATGACGCGTCCGACAGTAAATATCAATGTCAGGCTGTAAAAAAAAATATCGCGAAAAGCGTAGAGGTGCGAAGTGAACGCGTATTATGTGCGCGTATCGCGGTGAAAAAGTGAGTTAGCGCGGTGCATCCAACGGAAATATACGCCATAACGGCCATGATAACTTATACCCGATGTAGTGATCCGCGACGGATAATCAATAGCGTCAAATACATGACAAGCGTATTTCGCGTACAACGGCAACGCTTCGCATATAAAGGCAATGCTTTCAACTCACACAAAGAAACAGAGAGAAAGGAAGAGGGAAAAAATAATGAAAAAAGAATTTTTCAATTCAGCTGATAAATAAGAGAATAAATAAACTTGCAGCAAAGTCTTTTCTAACATCCATTTACGTTATTATCATACAATATGATTCGATACAATCTGTCAAAATCAGCATTGGTAAATAAATAATAATGATTTGTAATGTCATTATTGTTACAAGTTACTTCTTTTCATTTCTTTTACTAGTAAACAATAAAGGTAATGCAATTACAGTTTTTGATTGGCAATGGATATAATCGTTATTTTTATCGTCGCTTTGTATATATAGAACATATCCACGCAACACAACATCTAAAATCGGGACATAAGACGTCTTAAAGATATATTAAAGATGTCTTAAAGACGTCTTATGTTCCAACATCTGAGAGACGTCTTTCAGACGTCTTATGTTCCGATTTTAGACGTTGTGTTGTGTGAATAATAACGGAAATTGTAAGGATTTGCTACTTTTTAAGTCGCTTTGTACATATAAGACATACTTATACAATACGACCTTCAAAAGTGGGACATAAAATGTCTTAGACATCTGTTATGTGTATAATAACGGGAATTGTAAGAATTCGTTACTTTTCAAGTAACGATAACGATAAACACGTCTTTTTTCCTCTCAAATTCTGCTTAATTCTGCTCAAAATAATAAGCTGCTCAAAATTCCTGGTTGAAATTTCATGTAGTTTTTTAATAATTACTGGACAATTATATTAACTTTTATCTCGTAATTGACTAGTAAAACCGTTGAGATACCGATCAAGATGTAACGCTCTTCTTGCAGTTACAGTGCAAAAAATAGTCAAAATCTAAACCATTTATTAAACGAAAACTGAATAATAAATAAACAACGAAATTATCTAATCGATTAATAAGCAAATTAACTGCTCATGAAATGGGTAGTTTTACCCTAAAATTGAAATAGACAAAATCCTATCAAGTTTTTGTTCATTTCCTACATACTTTTGATACAACCAATCAGAATGTAGTAACACTAGACAGTAACTGGTTGAGTGTCTAGGAAAGCTGCATAGATTTTTAGCAAGGATGATAAAATGACAAATTAGTTACATTACCAAGACATAATGTACATATATAGGTTAATTCTTACAATGATTGTTATTCCTCTTACTCATTTCAACTCTAAAAAACATGGTTTTTCTCGTGACTAGCGGCATTTGTTTGCACTTTTAGTCGTAAAGATTTCTTTGGAATAATTTAATACAGACAAAAAGCTTAATTTCAATGAGGGTCGTACGAAAAACCAGGTAGAGTGTCAATGACTAAAGGGGATGCCAAGAATTGTGTGATTTACTCCTAAACAGGATATGAACGATTAGAAAAACTCCCCTTCGTGAGATCAATGAGATCCGAACGAATATTCAGACTCTCTTACAAAAAAGTATTATTAGCGATGATAAAATGGCTAGTGATTAATTATTGCACCTCAATAGTTTTATTACTCGTACGAGTAATAAAACTGCTGAGCACCAATAATTTATCACTAGCCAATTTATCATTGCCAGTTATTCTTTTTTGTAAGGGCGCTCACCAACTTTCGTAAAGAGTCCGGGAAAACTTCAAAGTAGCGCAAATCTGTTTGCAGTTTGACTTTATTGAGCTGCTATCTTATAGATTATAAGCTTTTCTATCTCTGGGAAGAAATGTGTCTAAAAATATTAATTTTTGGACACATTTTGACTATGTTATAATTTTAACCATGTTATGGTAGTTCATAGTTGTCCGGATCTGACAGAGCCAAATGTGCCAAAAAATATGATTGTGCGCGGAGAATTATACTGCAAATCTTACTGTAAAAATTTATGAGTAGATTTACAATTGTATACAATATTATATGTCGTACAATCACTTGTAAATATCGTAAATTAGATTAAATCGTAGATATTTACGAGTAATATTGTATAGAATATTACAATATAATATTGTATAGAATTGTAAATCTATTCATAAGTTCTTACGTATTTTACGAGAACAAGTTACGAGACTTACGATTCTGTTTAGAATTGCAGCATTAATGGACTTTAAGGGGATGCTAGAGTCGACGACGAACTCGAACAATGTCGATAATGCAGAGACGATCGTCACTAACATAATCACGCTATTCTTTTCGTATTTATTGTATATACAGAACTTATATGAATGTGTGTTACTTTGTTTTACCATATTCAATGGAAAAGCTAACCATATACAGCCAAAAAGCTTAACTGCAATGAGGGTCGCATGAAAAACCAGGTTTTCTAGAGTGTCAATGACTAAAGGGGATGCCAAAAGAAAATCTTTAGAGAAAGAAATAAGAACGCGCAAACGAAGATATCAATCAAAAAATAGGAAAAGGGCAATTCGAGTTCAAGCACAGGACTAATAGTGCTACATACCATATGGGTAAAAAACCTTCCTTGTGTTAGGAAATCGTGTAATATTTATTGAACATGAATAATCAATATAAGACAATCATACGTTTCGGCTCAACCATGAACCCTCTTCAGTGATAATAAAAAACTCAAGGTTTACGACACGAACGCATTACAATTAGTTAAAGACCTGCGTAACTTGACATGAATGTTAATCGTAATATTAAAGCTGACAAGACCGTTACCGAAATAATATTAAGTAGTTAATTAATATTGAGAAATAGCCGTCATAACTTTGTTGAGTTCAGCTAAAAGTAAACCGATCCTGTCAACGATAACATCGCCACGCCTGACGTCTGCGATTAACATTCATGTCAAGTTACGCAGATCTTTAATTAATTGTAATGCGTTCGTGTCGTAAACCTTGAGTTTTTTATTATCACTGAAGAGGGTTCATGGTTGAGCCGAAACGTATGATTGTCTTATATTGATTATTCATGTTCAATAAATATTACACGATTTCCTAACACAAGGAAGGTTTTTTACTCATATAGTATATAGCATTATTAGTCCTGTGTTTGAACTCGAATTGCCCTTTTCCTATTTAAAAAAAAAAATCTTTCTGCAAACTTTTCGATATTCTTAAGCTTCCAAATGCAGATGCGAAGATGGAGCAATGTTCTTAAAAATTGTTCTGTTTGGAGCATCCACACTTTCGGTATGTACAAGCTGCGGAACTTTTGGATTAGGCAAATATTACATTAACTAACAGCTTGAGATTCTATTCAAAATTTTGTATTTATTTTCGTCACATATCGAGCAATAATCCTATTTATTTTTGCACGTATTTTCATTGCGTAAAAGCATTTGTAATTCTGTAACCAATACGAGGTAAACTTTGCAGAAAAATGTCAGTGCTCTGTCGGTAAAGTTTTCAGCATTCCCTTGACAAATATTAAGGCTTTATCGAAGTTTAGTGTACAGAGTAATTATATACATCTCAAATGTGCAACTACCCAAATGTCCCCCAAATATTAATACGAGTCACCGTATATATATCATCGGCTATCTCGGCAGCTGAATGTTACGGACTCTCGTGGCCACTATCAAAAG